CACTTAAGCGACTGTGGTCTCTCTAGAATGCCCTCCCTCCCCCCTGTACAAGGATGGTTGGGGGATGTAAATGGAAAGGGATCGTGTAGGGCATGTTCTATGATCCACTATGCGATCAGTTTTCACTGGTACCTTTTTGACATTATTGCCCAGCATCATGGCGTCTGCCCTGCCGATGAGGACCTCCATCTGCCCATAGCGGTCCCCGGTCTCTACCATTATGTTCAGGGCAGCTTCGTAACGGGGATACGCTTTCTGCAAACATAATACAAAAAAACTATATACAGTTACTGTAGTTATGAGGTTGCTCAAACTGTTTGTATTGCGTGTGCTCTCTGTGTTATGGTTAATTTGCCGTTAGTACAGTTTGTTTCATATGCACCTTTTTATCAAGTTGGCAAGTTGGCGTTTAACCTTTTACAAGGCAGAATCTGGAAAAGGTTAGCTACAAAAGGCTAAGTGGTATAAACTGTACACAAGGCTGGCTGTTACAAATGATCTTGACCGAACATGTTTTCTTCCTGGTTACAGACGTGGTTATTTGGGTACACGTTAGGGATAACCAATGTCCTGGGAATATATACACTTCAAGCTTCAAGGCTTGGTTGTATTAGGCCTTTAAGGGCGTCTTTAAGTATTAAAGAATGTGTTCCTTGTACGTTTTCAGAGACCCACATTGGAAGTGCTGTTTTGATACGGGCACGAGGTAGCACCTATACCATAGGGTTTTTATGTGGGCAATGCCGCACACTTCCGATATTGATCGTGCAAGTTGGTACCCTCCTGCCGTGAAATGTATTCATGGCACAGGCTCGCAGCTTCTTTCAGTTCTGAAATGGCTTGTTGAAAGTGGCAAATTGCTTTCGTGTTCACTACATGGGCTCCCATTTCTCACGTCTCCTCGGCTGGTAACCATGTTATATTAGGATATATAGCTTTGATGAAGAGCTTGGGCTTAAGAATTTCCTTGAAACACACAAATTGATTTTTAAGGAGAGGGTGTCTTCTTTTTTTATTAATATTGTAATTCTTTATTGTAAGGCCCCATTTATGCCCAAAATAAAATATAATGGAATCTTCTTATATATATTATTGTCTTTTTTTGTCTAAATTTAAGATGGATTAGTTACTTTTGTTTTTCAGTTCACCGCAGATCTTCTCAGGGCGACGGTAACAAATTTGGGGTGTGTGTATGGGGTGATGACAAGATATTTTCACAGCATGTGTGTTTTTTAGTTATTGGTATTTTGATATCCTTTTATTCACTTGCTTGTGTATATATTTTGGCAAACACGTGCACATATTAAGATATTTTGAAAGGTAATTCCAGTTTTATGATAATAATTTTTTAGTCATCTGTCACTGCACCCAGACTGCATTAATTTACTCTTAACCTACCTCAAAGTCATGTAATTTCTTGTGAATTTCTGCAAAGCTGTGCAAACATTTTGCTTGAACGGGTCTATCGTTCTTCTCCATAGCTGACTTCAAGGCATCCTGGAAATATGGATAAAATGAGTGAAGTTAAGATAACAGAGATTGTTATTGATAGCAACTAGGAAAATGTTGGCTCCTATCAAGTTGATTCGAGAAGTCAAGTACATTATCACTTGGGCAGATAATAGGAGATACAACGATACATAGTAATGGAAATGCAAAGTTTGAATGTAGGTTTTAGTACAAATCGTGTTGATGTTTAATAAATTGACCTTTTTACAGAGCCAAAACGGCGGATAACAAAATAGTCTGCGCACAAGGAGAGATACTTCCATAATTGCGTCGAGGGAACCCACTGATCAATTTGATCATGCTTTAAATGCTATCGCCTTAGACTATCAACGAAAAGGTTGTATGGGCACCACCAATGTTGATATTTTGAGAAAAATAACTGCGATGTTCTGCAGGCGATGACATTGACAAAATACATGCTTATTCCGTGATTTCCAGCCAGATCCATTTAGAGATCTTTGTTGACTCTATCTTTGGAATATATATTTTAAGTCGCTACCAAAACGTCACCAATACCGATTTAAAATAAACTTTAATATGTTTTTTTGCGTCCTGGCAAATTTCCTATCAGGAAATTTGGTTTTCAATAAGAGCAAATTAACACTGATAGAGAGTTATTTGTTCATGAACGTT